GGAGACTGAGACACGAGAATCACTTGAACATGGGAGGCGGAGGTTGCAGTGAGCTGAGGTTATGCCACTGCACTCCAGCCTAGGCGACAGAGCAAGATTCTATCTCAAAAAAAAAAAAAAAAAGAGTCTTAGTGTTATGGAGCCCTGCCCAGTGTTACTATGTGTTTAACTAGTAGGCCATTTTGGTTTCATATTATGGGCATTTCAGTCTGTCCCCTTAATAATTATCACAAATTTATTTTAAGTCCTAACTTAATCAGGTTTTATTTTGATGGAGTTCTCCAAAGTCATATTCAGCCTGCTTTTGTTTCATAGGTATTAAAACCAGGCAAAAGTGTCTTGTTTCGTGACTACGGGCTGTATGATCATGCCATGCTTAGGTTTAAAGCTGGCAGCAAACTTGGAGAAAACTTTTATGTTAGACAAGATGGGACCAGATCATATTTTTTTACTGATGGTAAGATGAATGGAATCCAGTCTTTAAATGTTTTATTCTTTGTTTCTGTTTATTTGATTGCATTATCACTGCAAGGCTACTCGGAGAAGGCTTGTGACATGTGCATGAGACCCTGAAACAGCCCTCTACTGTACAGTACTTACACAGCACCTGGAAGGCACAGACCTGGCCTCTGCCCTTGAAGAGCTCACAAGCCTTCTCTGGTGTCAGTGACTCTCCTAGTGAGCCTGGGTTAATGGACAGCTTCTGACATGCCATGTGGATGCCCTACTAGGAATTGTGATGGAATAAGAGGGAAGGCAAGTCAGAAACTTCTCCTTGTCCACTTAAAAATAAAGCAAATTCGACAATATAGTGCCTTGAGATTACTTTCCCATGGCACAAAGTCAGGAAACCTTTTTCTATAGAAATGATTGGATCTGTTTTGGGGTTTGGTTTTTTTGTTGTTTTTGAGACAGAGTCTCATTCTGTCACCCAGGCTGGAATGCAGTGGTGTGATCTCGGCTCACTGCAATCTCCACCTTCCGGACTCAAGTGATCCACCAAAGCCTCCTGAGTAGCTGGGACCACAGACACATGCCACCATGGCTGGTTAATTTTTTGTATTTTTGGTAGAGTCGGGGTTTTTACCATGTTGCCAACGCTGGTCTCAAAACTCCTGAGCTCAAGTGATCTGTCTGTCTCGGCCTCCAAAAGTGATGGGATTACAAGTGTGAGTCACCATGCCTGGCCTGGATCTGTTTTTAAATAAATATGCAGATTTGCTGTAAAGAGGTGTTTATTTATTTATTTATTTTTGAGACAGAGTTTTTACTCTGTCGCCCAGGCTGGAGTGCAGTGGCGTGATCTTGGCGTATTGTAACCTCCACCACCCAGGCTCAAGTGATTCTCATGCCTCAGCCTCCCAAGTAGCAAGGATTACAAGTGTGTGCCACTACGCCCAGCTAATTTTTGTATTTTTAGTAGAGATGGGGTTTTGCCGTGTTGGCCAGGCTGGTCTCAAACTCCTGGTCTCAAGTGATCTGCCCACTTCAGCCTCCCAAAATCCTGGGACTGCAGGCGTGAGCCACCATGCCTAGCCTATAGATGTATTTAAAAAGTCATTTTTGATAAGAAAATGTGGAACGCTGTTTCAGTCTTTTAGGTGTCTTGAACAAAGTCTACTTAATCATCTAGATAGGAAGATAATTACCTTAACCTCTATTTTAACAAACATTTTTCTTCTTGAAACGAAATATTCTTTTAGATACCAAAATGAACTAAAATCGAGTGATTACTATTAAAGCTGCAAAATTATTTGGGAGTCTGAGGCGGAAGGATCACTTGAGCTTAGGAGTTCGAGACCAGCCTGGGCAACAATGAAACTTTATCTCTACTAAAAATTAAAAAATATATATATTAGCCAGGAGTGGTGGCATGCACTTGTGGTCCCAGCTGCTTAGGAGGCTGAGGCAAGAGGATCGTTTGGCCCCAGAAGACAGAGGCTGCAGTGAGCTATGATCATACCAGCCTGGGTGACAGGGCGAGAAGCCTATCTCAAAACAAAACAAAACAAAA